GAAACGGTCTTAATAAAAGTTAGACACTGTTTGAATGAACACAAGTGAGTGGGCTCACTGGTCTAAACATGTGCACATGAACAGTGAAAACTAGCAACTTTCTTGCATATGGGAGTGGCAGGTATAAAACTGGCCTCAAAAGTTCACCCACTCTATTGCAGTGTTGGTAAACCAGGCAATGCATTCACGTGTTTGTTTTTGGGACAAGGTCTCATGTAGCCAGACTAGCCTGCAAGTTACTATGCAGCTGAGGCTAATCTTGAACTGATCATTCTACCTTCACCTCCAAGTGCTGGAATTACAGGCAAGTACTACCATGCCCTGCTGAGAAGGTATTTAATCTCTCTGAGCCATGAATGTGCTCTATTTCCTGATCCAGCCAGCTATGAGGAAGCAAGTAGCCTCACACTTCCACCCTACTAAAACCACACTGTTCCCATGCCTTCCCCACCAGGATGGACCATACCTTCAAAATGTGCTCCAAAATAAACTCAACTATGAAATAAATAATGTTGGGGTTAAAAATAAATCATACAAGTTAAAACATAAACCTATACTATTTCTGTGGCAATCACACTATAGACTCCATATGAATAGATTCTGGTCTCCCATCCTGACTTTGAATTCAATACTGTATCTGATGAAGTTCTTCCCATGAACTCTCCATCTTCAATGTCTGTCTGCTTGGTGCTTCATCCACGTTAGCTTTACATTATCAATTCTTAAGAAACTTTCCTAGATGTCTCAGTTGAGAGTAAACTTTGTTCAATAACCCCTCAGTATCTAGTACTTCCACACCTGTTACTTAAGATACATACAAGTTTATGTTCAGAACCTATCACTGAGGAACAACACATGAACTAACTACCACATCTAGGACACCTAAAACACCAGGCAGGAGATAAGTGTTCACTGATGTCTCAGTACTGAACCAAATGCTGCCCTCCTAAAAGGGTGAAGGTGCTTGTACACCGATGTCAAAGTACTTATTTAGAAGAGGTTTGACAGCTCACTCAGTAGGACTAAGCTCAAAAGCATACACTGAATTTTTCTGAGCAAGTTACAAAGAGCTCTTATCATATTCTACTTGTCTGTCAAAACCAATATCCCTCCCAGGGGTGTGGGCAGTCCAATTGCCCAGCTGGTTTTCATTCACACTAGAAACTAGAAACTCCGTTCTAGGCCTCACAAAACGAGAGCTGTGTCTACAAAGCCATAACAACCAACCAATTCACTGAATCCAATGAAATAAGCCAATTCACTGGGGGAACACAAACTGTCAAACTGGTTACTTGGTGCCTTATAGACCAAACAATGCGTGATTCAAACAGTTCACTTTTCAATAGGTTGTCTTGTCATGTGGCAGCTACAGTAAGTGAAAGATTTTCTTTATCACTGTTTTGTCTTTTTATTAAACACAAGAGTAAGAGCGTATCTGACAGAAGGGTAAATAGCCAATAATATCTAGCCTTTAAACAGTGGTCAAACACACCAAATTTCAGCAAACTGAATGAGCCCCAAGGGCACAATTGTGGAACAAGGCTCCATGGCCTGCTTTTTGGCTTTAAAATAAGAGCTGCTGGTCCCGATCTCATCTTTGCAAATGCACAGCCTTGGGAGACAGAGACATGAGCAGCAGCAGCTTTAGACAAAGCTCTATTCACAGCCACCCAAGTGCAATCTTAGAGTTTCAATTTCATTCAGATGAGTGCGGAAGGCTCCCACTGAGGGTAGGCTGCTGAATGGTGCTGTTGGGAAAATGACCCAAGAAGGAGCAAAGGAGCATTGGCTTTACTGTCTGTACTTTCATTAGAAGAGATGAAAGCATCCCTCTCTCTGACTAAGGTACTAATCTAGCAAATTAGGAAGAGTACTGAGTGGGGTTTTTTTTCCCCCTTTCCCCCATCACATTGGTACCCAGAGCAGAGCTTCTCTTCATTAATGTGGTTGCCAGGGCGAGTACAGAGTAAGCATCTGAATCACTGTGGGTTTAACCTTACACCAAAGAGGAAATGGTGTGGTCAGGAGGCCCACAGCAGCCTCCTCCCTGGTACAATGCCATGTTCCACCTGCTGCAGGGGCATGTCACCTTATGCTATGCTTCAGCCTCATCCCTCTTTCAGGTCTAGCTATTTCCATGGTGAAAACAGCACAAACTTCTGGCCCACAATACTCAGCCCTCTGAGGATCATGTTTCCTTTTACAGAAGGTACCAGAGGAGGGACATCATGTGCTCAAGTCCAAATGAGAAAGCAGGGAATTGGGACCTGACCCTAAGACCTCATTCCCAGGGCCTCAGCAGCTAATATCGACCCATACTCCACCTGGGCCATCATAACATTAGCTCTGCCCACAGGTCTTCCCTGGCAGACAGATGACCTCTTCATAGCCACTGTGTAGCTCTGGCTACCCTACCTGGGTGCTATGGCCTGGGTGAGAAGCGGGGGTGGGGGAGGGATGGGCACTTCCCCACAGTTTGGCCTGCAGGAGGGTCTGAGTTATTGTCTACTGAAATCCAGAATGCCTTTCCCCTCGCTTCAAATAAATGCTGTACTGCTTTGTCATGCCAATAAAAATCAAAGGATAAATCCCCCACGGAGGGTAGCTTGCACTCTCTGCCCTGATGGTATCTTGCTTTTCCAGTAAAACAAGTGTCAGTCTGCATTCCCGATGGCAGCAGTCCGAACAGGAGGCCTGCTCTGTGGCAAAGGCTTTCATTTTCTCTGCAGGGATGACAAAGCAGCTCTGCTCATTCCAAAGAACCACTCTCCAAATCAGGGAAGCACAATGCCAGCTTCTACCCATTCTTTCCTAAGGATACTCCTAAAATGACTGCTGGCATGCCATGGTTCTTAGGCCAGAGGAATCATTTCTGTCTGACTTGGAAAAAGGCGTGGCCTACATAACTCAAGACAGGCTGGAAGCTGGTACTGCTTGCCTGCTGATCCAGCAGCTGGGGACATGTCTGGTCCCCAGCAGGGATACAGCTCAAGACACAGAAACTGTTTCTTCTGAGTAAAGCCTTTGCCACAGTGAGATCTAGAAATCAAGTCTTATTTGACAATTTTTAAAAAATTATTTTGATTGTTTTGAGAACGGTTCCATGCTGGCCTTAGGTTTGGTAGGATCCTCCTGTCTCTATCTCTTCGATGTTGGGATTATAGATGGGCACCGCTGCCCCCACCCCCGATAGGGCTTCTCTGTGTAACAGTACTTGTTGTCCTGACCTCACTCTGCAGACCAGGATTGCCTCTAGCACACTTTGTTTCATGTGGTACTGGGACTGGAACCCAGTGTTTCCCAAAGGCTCAGCACACTCTTTACAACTGAGCTACATCCCCAGTCTGGGATGTTTTCAAAGCATCATTTGCAGTATTAAAAATATTGCCAGAAGTCAGAAAAAGACTTATAATTCAGTGTGCTATTATGCCACCTTCTTAATTCCCAGGTGTGCAAACACCCCCACTAATCAGAAGACTGTCAGCATTCACATAAGCTGTTCCAGCAACAGTTTTTACCAGGAGTGGAGGTGGAAGGAAGCCAAAATGTTCAAAATGCTCAGATTTGGTATTATCAAACAAGAAAACTTGGGGGAAATACAGGGAGGTTGGTTAGCTTTCTAAATAAGAACTATTTTCACTGGGTCTTCTTTCCAAGTTTTGAAGAACAATATCCAAGAGGCAGATATGACCCCAGAGTAGACAGACAAGCTATAGAAAAACTAAATGCGAAGAATGTAGAGACTCAAAAAAGGGGCCCACAATTCACACAACACGGCTCTGCCCTTTCTGATGCTACAGACAAGGCTGCCATGGAAGCCTCGGCCAGCAGTGACTGAGAAGCACTCTGCATGACCAAGAACACAATGGTGTCATGCTCCTCCACCTCCCAGGGCCCTGGGTTACCACAATGGCTTCTATGCTATCTCTCAGTACTCCAGATACTTTTGATATGGTGTGTCTTCTAAGGCATTCATTTCTGGCAACTTCCCCCTCTGAGGTCCTTATTTATAAAGCCTCACAAGTGACTGATCTCTGCTGTTTCCTGGCAGGGAGGAGCGTGAGCACCAACCTGTATATATCCCTGTCAGAGTGACCAAGATGTCACTCTCTGAACAGTTCTAATGGTGAGGGGAGTGGGAGGGTGTGTGTGTGTGTGTGTGTGTGTGTGTGAGAGTGAGAGAGAGAGAGAGAGAGAGAGAGAGAGAGAGAGATACTTTGTCTCAAAGCCCAGGCCTAAGAGGACAGGGCACTGCCTCTAGCTCTCTGCATTGTAAACACCAAGTTGCAGTCTACAGCAAGAAAAGACATTTTATCTGCTACTGACATGTAAAACACTACCAGTAACTTCTTCCTTCCCTTGTTGGTCCCTGTCCCTGTCATGCCTGTGGCCCCTTCAAGTTCAGAGACTCACTAATGGAAGAAGTGAATGGAGATGAATGAAGCAAGGGATGTAAAATCTCATTTTACAAAATCCCATGCTGAGATTTTTTTTTTTTTTTTTTGCCATTTCATCACATTCACAGATTTGTGTGTGCAGAGAACCATCTACTCACTAATGTAAAATGTAGTACCCTTTTGTGATCATGAGAAAGCACCATTTGAGAGCCATATAGATGATGTATGTTCAGGTCAAAGGGTGCAAATCTGCAGTCTTTAAGGGAGGAAAGACTACCTGTACTGTCACTGGCTTGGCCACTTGTCAAGACAATGAAGAGCTCTACACCACCTGCTCATTTGGGTAATTACTGTTCTAGGCAAAGGCAAGCCCAGGATACCTATCCAAGGTGCTAACTACATTAGAACTGCCAGTAGTAGATATCTAATACAAAGGTTGGTTCTTACCATAAGGCCAAAGAACAAATGCACTCTCATGCTTATGTGCTCACATCCAGTATTTTTTTTTAAAACCATGTTGTCCTTGAATAGTTGCTATCATCAATCAAATCTCAACAAGATGCTGTGCAAACCCCTACTGACTCATCCCAAATTGAGTCTTACCTTGGTGTTCCTCCTTAGACTTCGAAGGATATTCCTCCTCCTAGGGTCCTCATCTGTTTCATATGGAATGACAGCATTGTCCCCTTTATAACCTTGGGATGCCTGATCCTCCTCTTTCTTCCGGATGGGTCCCAGCTCGTCATCACTCCCTACACTGAAGCTGGTGCGGTAACTAGCAAACCGCCCCAGCCGGGTGCATCTTGTCCTGTACAGCACAGGCTTACTCACAGCTGATACCTTGCGGCCTCGCTCTAGAGAACTCGTGTCCATTTCACTATCAGAACCATTGCCACTGCCATTGGACTGGGCTTTGTTGATGTTCCGAATGGTGATGATCTTGCCCTGGGTGCTGTCGTGGGGCACAGAGTAAATGTTTTCTTCCTCATTCCTTGGCTTGACCACAGCATCTATTGGCTCTGCATAGTCAGAAGGATCAAACCCGTCCTGAGGCAGCCAGGGGCTAGAAGACACAGACTTCCTCTGTCCCTCCCGATGGCCTTGGTCTAGGTAGGACAGATCTTTTGTGATTTCAAAATGGACAGGAGGCTTTGGTTTGACTGGTGGAGGTACTTTGTTGTTCAGTTTACTCTCAAAATTGCTCATTATGAAAGACAGCCCGTCATTTCCCTCCAGCTCCATAGAGAACTTGGAATGGTCTTTGGACAGGGAGGGCAATGTGGCATCTTCCCGAAACAGGTGGTACGATGGAGGCTCCACATCTTCTTCTGAGTCCTGCAAGTTTGAGTTGCAGAGTGGTGACCCAGCCCTGGGGGAATTGAACACTTCTTCAGTGGTGCTGCAAGCCTCAGCAACATTATCGTACATGTGTGTGGCCTCGATTATGTTCTTTTTCTCCACCACATCTTTAAAAAAGGGATGAAAGATCTCAAGTTTATGCTGGGGCTGGCTACAAGGGATGCTTGTGAACCTCCCATCAATTTCTTGTGCAATTTCCTCCCCCTCTGTCAGTTGCTCTCGACTTAAGTCATTGTCCAGGACATCTATAGCGCCATCAGTGAGTGCAACAAGCTGGATGGGGATGATATCCTGCACTTCACAAAGAAAGGCACGCAACATTGCCAAAGAGGCCTTACGTTTGGCTGAATAAAAAACAATGTACCCATGAACCAACCGGCTCTTTCGGATGCTGAACGAGGAATGGTATGAAAGAACAGATAGCTCAATTCGCTTCTTGTGTAGTCCAATTGGAAGTTCAAGTAAAACAGAGTTGCTGCTCCCACAGTGCGAAGATTTACAAGTTTGGGACTGCAGGACAGGAGAGAGTATGTCATCTGCACTAAAGGGATCACCACACATCAGACACATGACAATTCGGAGGTCCACATCAGCCAAGTCTTTGATACTAGCAGTGGAGCTGACCAGGTTTAAGTTGCGTTTAGAATCCAGTAGTCCCTTCAGAACTTGACTGATCTGCTTCTCATTAATGTTGCGTCCGTAACCAATGCCAGCAGAAGCAGGATCAAGAAAGACACACTGTAGTTTGCTAGCGATCTGTTGGCCTTGTTGTATTAAACTGTGCAGAGTTTCTCCACTTGTGTCCCCTCTCTTGTTAACTAAAATTAAGGTCAAGGGGAGGTGAACTAAGTGATTATCCCGCCTGCCCAGTGTGGACTCTCTGCTCTTCTCTATACTCTCCACCACATAGGACAAAGACTCCTTTGAATTGTAAAGGCAGAGGCAGCCATGGGGTTGGAAGGTTGGTGTCTGGAAAGAGTTCACAGGGAGCCTGACATTCCCCTCTATTGGCCTCAGGGAAAGCTCATACATTTTACCATCTATCACATATTTGTCATCATTTGTACAAAGAGCTCGAATTTCATTGGCTAATTCTCGGGCAAGGCCATCTTTGCCTAAGATAACCAAATTGATTCTATCAATGTTGGGGTCAGACAGAGAGTTCTTCTGATTCCGATCAGACGGTCGGATAAAGCGAGAACTAATCAAGTGTTCAATCTTAGCATCCACACAAGCTGGGCAGCTTGGGCATGTCTCCTTTGTGGGGTGGTACACAAAATGAATGTGCTTCAGAATGAGAGCATCACGTTCTGCTTGGAGCTTCTGCAATGCTTTAAATCGCTGTTCTTCTCCCAAAACATCCTGGATGACACCCATCTTTTCCTTGCTGGGTTTGGCATCTAGTTCCAGCTCATAAAACAATTCTGAGTACTCCAAAAGCAACTCCTGGAACTCTTCCTTTGCTCGGTCTATAATCTGTTTTTGGTGCTTGCCATAGATGTCCATATACACAGATTCTTCCAGCCACTGGTAAAAGTCTTCATTCATAATAAAACTACGAGCCTCTTCCCAAGGTTTCCCAGGAGTAATGAAAGGAGAGGTCTCCAAGTTTTCTTTGAATGCCTTTCGCATCTCAGCTCTCTTCCTCTCATTCCTCAGCTTCTCCAAGTGGGTCTCATACAGCTGTTCAGCAGGGACTGTATCCATCAAGTCAAAGGGAATCCTCTCATTTTCCATGTTATCAATGTGGCTGGTGGCATCCCATGGTGTCTCTTCAAGCACAACAAACCACTTTAAGAACTCTGGCTTGGTCTCTAAGAGTTTTTTGGCTTTAATGCAGCTCAGGTGGTCTATTTCATCTAGATTAGGTATGAGGGCTTCAAAAGCCAATGGCAGGGCTGCCAGGTAAAGCTTTCTCCGGCGCTCAATATGCTCGTGCTTGAGGCGGTGGATGTGCTGCAGGAAGAGCTTCTTGGCCTTCTGTGTCCCTTCCAGGTACACATAGTCCTGGTACTCAGGGGATGCCTGCATCTTTCGGCTGACATTCAGCCAGTTCTCGTTGTGATTTTTCACAATGCGGCTCACCAACCACTCATACTTGTCCTTTGCTGTAGCTATTTGCTGACTCTGCTGCTTGAGAGCTTCAAAGTAAGGAATGATTTTTGTCTTTCCTCGACTCTTATCAATGAGCTGCACCAAAGTACTGAAAGCCAAGTCCACATTCACATTGGATCTTGCTGAGGTCTCTACAACCTGGAGGTTCTTTTTGCTTAAGGCAAAAGTATGTGCATCTCTAATGTACCGCTCAACACCCTCATCACACTTAGTCAGGACTACCACTATGGGCTTTTTAGTTTTTGCAAGTTGATTGTAGAGATTGGAGACAAACTTCAGCTGGTCATCGAAGTTCCTGTTCATGCCCCTGCTAACATCGATGCCCAGAAGGAAACCGTCAACCAGCAGCTTTCCATCTGGCATCTGTTTCTGCTCAAAGTCCTGCTCCAACCCCAGCTGGTCAGTGCAAAAATACATGAGTTTTTCAGCTGATGCGAGCTTGGTGGCTGCAGCTCTCTTGATGTAGGGCTGCAGTGCCGTGCTTCGATGAGGTTGAAAAGTCTGATCGTCAATGAACTCAGTCTGCTCCACAATGTGCATCTTACATTCCACACAGTCCTCCAGGGAGCGGCTAACTTCTCCCCAGTAGAGAAAGTGGTCATTATTAACAACCCGTCCACCAAAGTCACTGGTGCTGAGGACAGAAGTGTGGTCCAGGTGAAAATCATCTGCACTTGGGCGCACGAAGCGGTTACACAGACAAGACTTTCCAATGCCACACTGGCCTTTCTCCTTCTCAGTCCCAGACAGTCCCACCACGCTGATGTTGTAGGTGGGGATTCGAACATCTTGCTTTCTTGCCATCATCATCTTCGAAACATCCTGCCACAATCAACTACTTCCGAGATCAGATTAGTGTTCTGCAGTAGAGTAAGAGGGCTTCTCAGCAGTGCCAGGGGAGGCCGGCTGCCAAAGCAGCACAAGTGTCAGTTCCCATAGTGTTCTAAACCAGTATGATGTCAGTTCTTACTACTTCTCATCGCCAAATAGCCAACATGTCTGCCTAGATGGAGGGGGTAAAAGAAAAAAACATCAATATCCAAACTCTACTTTAACTACTAAATTATAATAATTTATAGATAAAAGTTTTTTGTTTCTTTCCTTATTTATTTATTTATTTATTTATTTAGCCTTTTATTGAGACAGGGTTCCTCTGTGCAAAAGCCCTAGCTGTCCTGGAACTAGCTCTGTAAACCTGTCTGGCCTGAACTCACAGAGATCCATCTGCCTCTGTATCTTGAGACAATAGAAGTATTTTTTTAATCCAACAAATATTTAGTAAACCAATGTCTTTAGTAAGTCTTATATTTGGTGAGTGATTAAGGCTGACATCAGAGTTATTGAGATGGTTCAGAGGGTAAAAAAAGGGACATTTCACAAGGGCAACGGTGTCATCCTGAAGGGGCTCCTATGAGTAAGGTCTAGATTAATCTATGAACCAAAGAAATTGTACAGTAATAAATTACAACTCACTACAAAAACATGAACTAAAGCCATACAGTTGGATCAGATGAGAACTATGATGGAAGGTAAAATGTAGGGAAATCTTGAGGGGCAGGATGTTGACAGATAATTCAAATGTCTCCTAAAACTGCCTATTAATTATCAGGAAAAGCTCTCAATAGCAATTATAGTGGAGAAAATAGACAACACCTTTAGGAGGTAATCAAAATTCACATCACCAGTCTGGTACAGAAGCACTTTGGAGACAGAGGCAGGAGAAGCAGTTCAGGAGTAGCCTGAGCAGAGAAGGAAGGGGAAGGATAGATGAGAATGGAGGAAGGAAAGAGCAAAGCTTCCTGGAAGACTCACAATATTGCTTTCAAAATTTACTACAAAGCTACAACAATCAAAACAGTCCTGCAGTGACATAAAGACATAGATCCAATGAAAAAGAAACAGAAAACTCATAGCTAAATCATCATATATATGTGTATATATATATATATATCACCAAATGACTTTTTTTGGAGGGGAGGGGGTAATGGTTTGAGACAGGGTCCCACTTATGTAGCCCTGAAATTCACTATGTAAATCAGGCTGGACTTAAACTCACAGAGATCCATCTGTTTCTGCCACCATGCCTAGCTGGCTAAACGACTTTTGACAAGGCTGTTGAGACCATTCATTGGGAGAAAGGATAGACTTTAAAAGCTGGTGCTGAGGAAAGTGGCTCTTCACACAGGAAAGGACAGAGGTAGGTCTTTATCTACATATAATATACAGAAGCTAACATTAGAGCTGGGGATGTGACTCAGATGTAAGAATGTTTATCTAGCATGTGATAGGCACTTCAATTAAACAACAACAACAATAACAATAACATCAATAAAAACCCCAACTCTAGTAGTGTGTGGTGGAGCACACTTTTAATCCCTTAAGCATTTAGAGGCATACAAATCTCTCTGAATCCAAGGTCAGCTTGGTACACATAGTGAATTTTAGGGTATTCAAGACTACACAGAAGACTCAAAAAACAAACAAACAAACAAAAAACACCACCAACCAAGCAAAAAAACAAAAACTCTAAATGGATCAAAAACCTAAAACTACAAAATGTAGAAGAAAACCTAGGGCAAAAGACTCCCATGAGCAATGGTGGGTAGTGCAGAGATGAGAGATAGCTACCAAGCCTATCAAAGGAGATGTAACCCCATTAAGCAGATACTTTAACTGTACACACATATTGTTGCATGCATGCACACAAACACATCTATACGTGCACATACACTCAATTCTGAAGACAATTTATAACAGTAGACCGTTTCTATTTTAAGAGTTGTCAGAACAAGGAGGTACAATGCTGGTTGCCATGGCTGAGAGAAGGAGTGAACAGGGACCCTGCATTCACACAAAGAATGAAGTCACAGGGATGGGTGGTGGTAGTGGTAAAATATTATTAACAGTTTTAACACTTATGAACTATGTACTAAAATTGGCTAATTTTTTGTTACATGTCTTTTACACATTAAAATTAATTGGGGTGAGGAATGTAGATCAGTGATAGAACACTTGAGTAGAAAAGATAAATCAGAAAAAAAATCAATACAAGTGTTTATGAAGTGGACGGCTATACTAAGATAAAGTATCCCTACTTTTAAAGTATTTTTGGGGAGGAAGAGCCAAAATGAATGTAAATGTTCAGGAAAAAAAATCTCTTTGTGAAAGAGTAAGAATGCCAAGGAGGGACTAGGGCTGTGACTTTCATGCTTGCCTAGGATGAAAGAAACCCTGGGCTTGATCCTCACCCCATATAAACTGGAAGTAGTAGTGCCTGACTGAAATCCTAACACTTGAGGGGTGCAGGCAGAAGATCTGACTATGCAAGGTCATAGGCAAAGCCAGTTTCAGACCAACATGGGTCATGAGAACCTTTCAAAACAAAACCACTGCAGACAAAATGTTAATAGATAAATCTGGATTAAAGTATGTGTGCTGGCTAGTTTTAGGTCAACTTGACATAAGTTAAGAGTTATCCAAAAAGAGGAAACTTCAATTGAAAAAAATGTCTCCATAAGATTTGACTGTAAGTCCTTTTTAAAATTAGTGATTGATGGGGGAGGGCCCAGCTCATTGTCGGTGGTGGCATTCCTGGGCTGGTGGTTCTGAACTTTTTTAATAAAGCAGTTGAACAAGCCATGATGAACAAGCCAGTAACAGCACTTCTCCAAGGCCTCTGCATCAGCTTCCTGCCCAGTGAATTACTGCCCTCACTGCTTTTGATAATCAACTGTTAAATGGAATGGTGTGAGTAAAATAAACCCTTTCGTCCACTAGTTGTTTTTGGTCACGGTGTTTCATCACAGCAATAACATGAAATTCTTTTGTGTTGTTCTTACTGTTATCAATGACAAATTCTCCAGAGTGTAAATATGCATGGGTTCCTCTCATAAAAAGCCCTATAGTTTTCAAGTTCGCTGCTGTGTTCTCCATCTGCAATTCTTATAGAGGAAAGAGTACTACAGTGATTATAAAGGATATGCAAGGCTCTTGAAAACTAGCCTTCTAGACTAGCCTCTCCCCTCTCCCCTGTGGTTGTCCTGGAACTCTGTAGACCAGGCTGCCCTTAAACTCAAGAGATCCACCTGCCTCTGCCTCCCAAGTCTGGGATTGAAGGCGTGTACCACCCTCATGTGGCTAATGCAGTCTTTCACTGGCCAGGACAGGAGGTGGCAAGTGTGGGGCTGAGGAGAAGCACTATAAGGGACCCAAAATTTTCACAATTTCAGTCATTAGCAAGCTGTTATGGTATCACAAAGTCTTCAGTAACCTTTCAGCTGAAGTAAAACTGCCCTTGGCTACCTCTGTACACATAGGCCTTTGACACCTACTATTCTGTGGCATGGACATTTACTTGCACACTAAGGTGTGACTGCCAAGTCTGTAGCCAAGCAAACAGTTTCCTGAGAGCAAACAGACCAATTTTTTTTTTTGAATCTCATTTACATCTAGTAGGAAGCTGGCATTGCTATAAACTTCATGCTTTTGTGTGCCTCACAGAAATGTCAAGAAATATCTTTAAACGTTTTAAAGATTTTTATTTTATGAGTATAAGTGTTTTGTCTACATGCATGTATGTACAACTTGTGCATACCTGACGCCCATGGAGGTCAGAAGAGGGTGTTGGATTCCCCCAGAAATGGAGTTATGGATGTTTGTGAGCCACCATGCGGGTGTTGAGGAGAAAAAAAAAAAACTCAGGTTCTCTGCGAGAGCAACAAATATTCTTAACTGTTGAGCTATCTCTCTTGACCGGTGGTTCTTAACCTGTTGGCCATGACCCTTTGCGGGGAGGGGTTGAATGACCTTTTCACTGGGGTCACAGGTCTCAAACTTACCTATCTTGAAACGTACTTAGTAACAGCATCCTCCTTGGAGTGACAACTGCATGGAACTGGCAATCTGTGACTCAGCTCTCTGTACAGTGGGTCCAATAACACATCCCTTCCCAGAAACCCCAGGTAACAACAATAAAACAACAAAAACACTGGCTCAAATTTGAAGCAAAAATGCATCACCTGTTCAATCTTTGCTTAGTTATAATTTTTAAATGGCAGGATGGTCTTAGCTGCAGAAAGCTGAAATGTATAGAACAGTCAACTCTGAAGAGGATAGCTACTAATATGTATGCAGTTTTGCTGCTGTTTTGAGACAGGGACTCAGTAACTGAGGCGGGCCTTGAACTCTAACTCCTGCTCAGCCTTTTGGGCACATTAGGATTTCAGGCAGGTATGTGCCACCATGTCTAAATATAACTTATAATTTAAACTCCAAATTATGTTCACAGCCAAAAACATTACCAAAACTTAAAAATCAGGTGGCATAGAAGTAGTTAATTTTCGAACACCTGATATCTTCTACTTGTTAGGAACCTAATAAGTTCCTTGGTGTAACTGCACTCTCAGCTTTGATGTCTGAATAATGCGGTTTTACTAGTTCCTCAATTGGACTGAATTACACAGTAAACAAAGCTGGTTATAAATCTAAGGATGTCTCAAACACTTAGTTTAGAGGAAATAACTTTAAGTGCCTGCCCACATACACGTTCAACTTTTCAAAGAGGTAGCTAAAAAAAATTAGAGCCACTAAACTTAGGGATCAAAAGACCATAAAAAGAGAAGAGAGAACAAGGAAGGCATGTCCAAGACTTCACAATGTTCAATGTCCTCAAACTTACATCTGGTGAGAAACAACTATTTTTTCCTTTAAGAGACAAGGTTGCTCTACTCCCTTTGTATACCAGGCTGGCCTCGAACTGACAGAGATCTACTTGCCTCTGTCTCAGAGTGCTGGGATTAAAAGCGTGCACCACCAAACCTGGCTGAAAAACAATTCTTAATGAGAAACTAAGCAACAAAATATGCATTCCAGTGATTTTCCAGTACTAGTCCTTTCAGAAGTGGAGAGTGAAAACAGGAAAAACACATCTTTAAAACTAACCCCGGGGCTGGAGAGATGACTCTGTGGTTAAAACTACCTTTTGCTTTTGCAGAGTACCTGAGT